ACGATTGCCCTCGATGACACAAATGTAATCAACGATTGTAAGATGTTCGAACATGCACCCTGTCCACTCCCTTCACCTCTTTGATTTCGCATATACTATATATATAATATACTAATATATATAGTGTGTGTGTGTGTGTGTGTTCAATGTCGTGTGGTGTGTGTGGTATGTGTTGTGTGCTGGTGTGTGTGTGTGTGAACCGTGTGCGGATGTGCCGTGTGTGTGTGGGCGCGCGGCTGTCTGCGCTGCGTGCGCGCGTAGTGTGTTGTGGCGTGTGCGTGGTGCGTCGTGCTTGTGGTTGCGTGTGCCGTGTATATATAATATATATATATATGTCTGTGTGTGTGTGTGTGTGTGTGTGTGGTGTGTGTGTGTGTTGTGTGTGCACTCAATTGCTTGGCGTTTCTTTTGTTACTCCTGCTTTACTTATTCCGCTAACTATTTTCCCACATTAATGTCGAATCAGTCCGAAAATGATTCAAATTCCTAAATAATCACAAGTAAGTACAGTAGTAAAATTGCTTTAGGAAAAATCTCTCAATTTACGTAGGCTCTACGGCAACGATTTAGGATTGGTTCAGATCGTCTTCCTCACATCTCTGTGAGATAAGAGATTTTAATCTTCCACCATAGATCGCATACAAATGACATTCCACATGTCATTCAAATTCTCGTCGATCAGATGAGAGATATTCGAATAGATTAAAAAAAAGTAATACACTAAAAAACGGAAAAAAATGGGGCGGGGCAACAAGGGCACGGTGCCCCGGCCCCACATTTGGGGCCCCCCACTTAGATGAGTACATCCTAAAATTCCACAAAACCCTGTCGTAAATTGTTGATCCACAAATTCTTGCATGTAACGTTGAAGTGATGCGTTTCCCATGCTGTTTCTCTGACTGAAATTTGCCTGTTCAGCTGTAGCGACACTTTCCCTAATACCGAAATGCTCTGAGAATCTATCTTTCATTGATGGTCATGAATTGTAGCGGTGAAAGCTTCATTTTAAAAACTCAAGTTCATACTAAAATCACCATGAGCACACGATGAGCCAAACAGAGGACTCTCGTAAACCTCAGTATTCTCGCTATGCAAAGTGACATTTTAAATTCGTTTGAAACACGATGAATACTATCTTGATATGGTCGCACAGCCATGAAAGTGGCAGACAAAATATACAGACTATAGGGCTCCACATCAACTTGCGTGCCCGCGGCTCCACACGCCTAGTCCGCGTCCTGATAATATAGACCTCTCATATTGCATAAGGTAGGCCAATTTACTCGGATTGTGAGATAATTCAAAATGCGCTTGTTAACTCTTGCTAACATTCAATTAATATTATGTTAAATATATTGAATAGAAGTTAGATTTCAATTCAATCACACACGTGCAAAACCCTAATGATTCCACTTGTTCGGCGGTCATGCTTTACATTAAACACGGACCATTATCATACATCTCACTCACTACTTAATTAAATATATTTTATAATGATGCCACATCATCACCTACTACGTATTGCCATATAAACGTTGAACATGAAACGACACCCATCTGCCGACCATGTGTATAACATAATACACATTTACCTTACCCCACAAAAGAAGATGGCTTCTAGCCATCGACCTTTAGCCTGCCGGCTGATGTCAAAACCACGCATTTGCACATAATCACGTTAACACCATACAAGTTTCTTTGCAGGTGTGAATGTGAAACTTTTTAATCAATAAAACCCCGTCTGGGGCTTAATTCCGTCTGTCTGTGTACTAGCTTCCAACATGGCGGAGATGAGAGGTTGGTGTACATTGTAAAATTCGATCTGTTTCACTGATGATGTTTTTACTTTCGGCTCCGTTGCATGCTCGCGCCATGCATGAGTTTTATATCAATTGACTAAAGCTGCTACATATGCTCGATGACACAATTGTAAACAACGATGTAGGATTCGAACCACGTAACCTGCATACTCCCTCACCTTCTCATTGCTAGAAACTAACGATAACCTCTATTGCAACAAAATTTCATTAAATGTTCACACTTTCTCACGAAAGCATGGATGATGAATATAGGCTTAGAAAATAAATAAATAAATAAACAAACAAATGAATATATATAATTATATATGTGTTGATTCACATGAAGAGGAATAATTTGTGTCCATTTTGCATAAGGGAGACAATTTACCCGGATTGTTGGATAAATTTAATATGCACAGATGTGATATAAAAATCAGCTTATTAATTATTTTAACACTTGCTAACATTCAATTAATATTGTGTATGTTAAATATATTAAATAGCAGCTCGATTTCAAGTCAATCACAAACGTGCAAAATCCTAATGATTCTATACTGGTTCGGCGCTCATGCTTTACATTAAACACGGATCATTACCATACATCTGACTCACCACTTAAATATATTATACGCGTTAACGATAATGAATAGGTTCATAATATTGACAAAATGGTTTCAGTATAGAATATTTATATCATATGAACATGGTACCTTGACAACCTTTGTAACGGGTACGTTATACGCTACCGAATAGACGCGCGCTCTCTCTCTCTCTCTCTCTCTCTCTCTCTCTCTCTCTATATATATATATATATATATATATATATATATATATATATATATATATACATGTTAACATATACCCTAACCCTAACGCAAACGTATTATATACGCTCACGAGAACAAACAAACCATTGAAGCCAGGGAATATTGATGCTGAATTTAAAAGGCTCTATGGCAACCTTTGTCATGAATTATTGCTATTGGCAGCAGTTGACAAATTTTCCGTTTACCGGCCGTTGCTTTCTGAATCGACAGCAGCACAGTGTAGGACCGCTGGTTGCTGAAATTGCACCGCCGTCTCTCTCTCTCTCTCTCTCTCTCTCTTTCTCTCTCTCCTGACGGATATCTAACGAGCAAATCCACACCATCCTTGGAAAATCACCAAGAACAGGCATCAACATTTGTAATATACGCACAATGAGCGGTCACTACTGGAATTTGCTCTTACTGCGGGGTCTAAAGATCATGAGCGCGGTAACATATCACGTTTTCTGCGTCGCGTTTATTATTTTATGCGCGACAAGAGGTACAAACGCGGCAAGATATCAACTCCAATTAAAGGGAGAAGCCGTGAGAGGTTGTCTTCTTGAGACGAAGATGGTTAGAAGCATGACGGAGTGTTCAGTAGTTTGCGCCCGCACCCCGGGCTGCACCGGTTATAACACAGAGAACACGGCGGCAACCCATAAACAGTGTGAGTTGAGCGCCTACGCAGACACTGACGTCGGCGCTGCAATTGTCACCGATAACAACTACGACTTCTATATGAAAGGTTAGTAATCATATTTCTGTAATTATTTTTAGGTGTGTGAGTGAACGGTCTCAGCAATTAAAAGGTCACCGTAGCTGGAATTATAATGTTTGTTTTCTTCTCTATAAATTATAAACGATTAAGCTGCGTTTGTAGTTTATTTTTATTCATATTTTATTTGCTATTTTTGCTGCTTTGATTCTAAATAACGGTATCGGTTACATCCAGACAATTAGACCCACCAAATATACACGGATAATTAGACCCGGACAATTACACGGATAATTAGACCCGGACAATTACACCCGGATAATTAAACCCGGACAATTAGACCCAGACAATTACACCCAGGAGAATTCCCCCCTGGACAATTACCGCCATATATAGTACTAGAGCTAGTCCGGAGTCAATTTACTTCTAGCCATAATTCATGAACATAAACAATATGATAACACATAAGCTAACCAGAGAAACTCGTATTGTATAATAACTATTATGAGGAGTAATAAAACAAATATATTTACCTTGGTCCAGTACTTGTGCCTCGACACCCGGCTTGCACGCAATAAACCCGGCTTGCACGAACACTTTCTGACCGTTATACTCGTACGGCGTCCGTTATGACATACGCGCGCTATGCGTAGACTGGCTCCTGCCCGTTTCAGCTGTACCGTTATCAGAAGCACGCCTCTAATGGGATGCGACCCAGTTTCAGACTAGGTAATCAGCTCGAGGCATAATTATCGTTGCGCGCATTGCATATTATGTTGCGCGCGCGCGTGTGTGTGTGTGTGTGTGTGTGCGTGTGTGTGCGTGTGTGCGCGCGAAAGTGTGTGTGCCTGTATATGGGCGCGGCCGTGTGGGTGTGCGTGCGTGTGCACGGATGTGCATGCTTACGTATTTGTGCGCGCCCGCGTGAATGTGAATAAAATTTAGTTATGGTAAATCGTTTGGCAGGAACCTAAACATAGGCTTGGTAATGCAAATAGTAAATAAACGTTGGTGCTCAACGTTTTTAGGGAACCATTTCACAACCTTATTGTAAATGTTACGTAGTGGTTTATAACAAGTTTTTGGCAAACTTTTGTTAAGAACCGACATGTAACGTTACGATCAACGTTTACTGAACGTTAATAAAACGATTTTGGCAAACGTTTGTCAATAACTTAAATATAACCTTATTATAAACGTTTTACTAACCTTATTATAAACGTTTTACTAACCGTAATAAAACGTTTTTAGCAAACGTTTTTAAATAACCTAAATATAACTTTATTAGAAACGTTTTACAAACGTTTGGAAAACGTTTCATTCATACCAAACCATAAAATAACCATTCAAAAACGTTGCGAAAACGTTATGTGTTAGCTGGGATCCTGGGACAATCAGTCCTGTACACTTACTTCCTGAGCAATCACTAACATCGATAACCATGTTTCAGTAAACAGCGGACTATGCCCTGCAGACTTCGTGGAATTCCGTGGAAATTGTTACTACATTGAGACACTCAACACGAAGACTTGGCAAGAGGCACGTGACCACTGCATCAGCATGGGAGCCGACCTCGTCAGTCTGGAATCACCGGGAGAAACCGATTTCTTGGTGCCTCAACTGCCACCAAGTTGGTTGACCGGTGGCAACGACGTCGCAGTGGACACGCAGTGGGTGTGGGTTGCTACAGGAAGACAGGTAGACATGTGCGCACCTATCCCGTGGGCTCCTGGAGAACCTAATAATATAGGTTTAGAAATCTACATTGAATTCACCAGTTATCAGAGAAATAATGTTGGGAAATTTTACTTATTAAAATACGTCTGTGAGAAATCGCCATGAATCACATCTAGGCGTCTGTTGTTATTTGTGTTTGTTAATTTTTTATCTATTTGTTGTTGTTTATTTGAGGTTAGCGTGTTGTAACTTCGTAAGGGCGCCCGCTATATGCGGAATTTGGAATTTAATTTACGAGTTATTATCGTTCATTTATTTAGTTTATTCATTATATTCTATTTATTTATTTATTTACTTACAGATGTGTTTTATTATATTTTGTTTTATTCATTCATTTTAATCGGTTATGCCTATTTTATTTTATGAAATTTTCTATTTACATATTTATTCAAGTAATTAGTTAGTTATTGTAAAAAAAAGCCCGACAATAGGACAGGGAAGACTATTTGATGCTATCTAGCAGCGTTGCTGGCTTTAACAACGGCTTTGATGATTACTTGATTTATACCCATAAACCATCCTTCATTTTCCCGTAAATTTCCCATAAATTTCCCTAAAATTATCTTATATCATTGCCAGACAGCCTGTGTGCGATTATACGTGCGTGCGTGCGTGCGTGCGTGCGTGCACGCTTGACTGCATGTACGGTTCTTGTTGTGATCCTTTTTGTGTTCTGCTCATTCTAGATCATTTCTAAATCTATGCAAAATGGTTGGGAAATTTGTGGAATATGTTTTTAAATAATGGCAGAAGGGCTCTAGAAAATGGTATCACTAGAATAGGGTCAATGTGAAGAGTTAACCGACGGGAGAGCGTTGTCCGATCTCTCTTCTCACACATCTCTCTTGTATTATAGGTTTGAATCGTTCCGCATAGATCGATACAATGACATTCATTATGTCATTGAACACCCGACTGATTCACCTTGCTAGCGTTTCGGCAATCACGCTTTATTTTAAACACGGATCTTTATCATTTACCAGACTCACTACTTAAATAAATTATATACGCGTTAACGGCAATGATTACTTTAAATTATTTGGGTTAAGTTGTTCTAATTAAGAATGAATCACGATCGATAAATGTCGCATGAACATAGTACGTTGACATCATTTGTGACGGATACTTGAAAAAAATTTGTGCCAGATGCGGCGCCATCATATTATATTTTATCATATATATATATATATATGAAGTGCCTGAATCGACAGCAGCACAGTGTAGGCACGCTTGTTGCTGACATTTCACAGTCATCTCTGTCTCTCTCCTGACGGATATCTAACGAGCTCATCCACACTATCACAGGAAAATCATCAAAAACAGGCGTCAACATTTGTAATATGCGCACAATGAGCGGTCACTTCTGGAATTTGCTCTTACTACGGGATCTAAAGAACATGAGCGCGTTAACATATCACGTTTTCTGCGTCGCGTTTATTATTTTATGCGCGACAAGAGGTACAAACGCGGCAAGATATCAACTCCAATTAAAGGGAGAAGCCGTGAGAGGTTGTCTTCTTGAGACGAAGATGGTTAGAAGCATGACGGAGTGTTCAGTAGTTTGTTCGGAGGCTGCACCGCTTATAACATAGAGAACACCACAGCAAGCCGCAAACAGTGTGACCTTAGCGCCTACGCAGACACTGACGTCGGCGCTGCAATTGTCACCGATAACAACTACGACTTCTATACGAAAGGTTAGTAATCACATTTCTGTAATTATTTTTAGGTGTGTGAGTGAACGGTCTCAGGAATTAAAAGGTCACCGTAGCTCGAATTAAATTGTTTGATTTCATCTCTATAAATTATAAACGATTAAGCTGCGTTTGTAGTTTTATTTTATTTTATATTTATTTGCCATTTTTGCTGCTTTGATTCTAAATAACGGTATCGGTTACCTCCGGATAATTAGACCCAACCAATTACACCCGGATAATTAGACCCGGACAATTACACCCGGATAATTAAACCCGGACAATTACACCTTATATATATAAGACATAGTGTTTGAATAACGTTAAACTATACTATAAATGTCAAGTTAGACGTGTGTTATACCGACTATTGTTGTTGTTTAAATCGTATTTAATGAGATTCCCTCAACTTTCAAGCGGAAAACAAAATCAGGCAAAAATAAATTATTTTAACATTGCACTCTTCTACTTGCCTATATATGTGTGATAGGTAAAAAAGGTGCTCAGGAATACGTTCATTCAAATCTTTTAGGCTAGAAAGTGAAACATTCGGGTCGAATGTTTCAAAGGCGTTTACCATTACCGCTAGGTGGCGATGGCTTTGCTCCGCACACTTGCCGTGTTATGTATGTATGAACCATGCTATGTAAAATTATGTTATGACCCAATGGTTTTTCTGGTCACGTACATGGCTATAGCTTATAGGGAAAGGGCAACGTTTTTGTTGCTGGGAGATTATAGTAATCTGAGCGAGTTAACGTGTGAGTGAGTCGAGAGTTCTGTCAGGTCGCTGTTAGTTCGGATTACGTTTTGTTGGGTTTTTAGCACGTTCTATCTCGAAAACGGTTACGGTAAAAATTCTGTTTGATTTCATAAAATGATATTTATATTAAAAGGTATGATATCTAAAAGTGGCTACATTGACTCGATTGAAATGATGGTTGCTCAAATATAAATAATATGGCGCCTACGGAACCGCGGCGAAAAGCGTTTTTCGAGTTGTTTCTTCGATGAGCAAATATAAGCTTGTTTATATTTTTGTTTTTCTCTATTCTAATATTATACAGTTTTATTTTCAAAGCTAACGTTTACTTAAAGTGTAGTGAGTTATTTACTGACGTTTTTACAGTGGTTTGTTACACAAATTTACGTGGAAAGTTCGAGGAAATCTCCCTTTACGTTTTACAATATTCTTATAGCTAACACCGGGGAAGTGAAATTTACCTAGGTGAAATTTATTACCCTGAAATTTATTTAGGTATTTTATTATACGCGTGTTACCGTGTTAATATTAACTAGAATTCTTCGTGCTATGTATTCCGTGCTAAGATCTCTCCTTATTGAATGGTTCACATTGCCTGTATTTTTTCCAGACTCCATACCCATGCCTACTACCAAAATTAGCCATACGTTTATTTTTTTGTGAAACAGTTCATTATTGCTCTGATTGTAATGTTTAGATTATCTTGCATATTCGTATTTTCTTAATGTCGTAATCTATCACTGTTATAGTGCTAACATTACATGTAGGTAATGCTCGTGTTTCTGCGTTTGGAAATCTCCCATTATTACAGTAGTACTTAAATTGTCTATAATTTTCGTGATGAAATCTAACAATTAATTAATTAATTAATTAATAAAAAAATTAGTGCGAGCGTGCAGGTGGGGGAGGACTGTAGTTGCCCCTTAGTCTGTGGTTGCGTGTTTGTAAGTCTACAGCCAGAGCACCTAGCGGAAGTGAACTGAAACGTGCATGGCAACACACAAACCCACAAACCAACACTCAAAGACACGCCGGTGAAAACATAACCTCCGCCAAGCCCCTGGCGGAGGTAAAAAGTGTTATGATGTACCAGACAAATCGGGTAAAACCCTTGATATATATGCCACCGTATGGTGCTTGTGTTTGAAGAATGTTATTACTGTTTGCTGGACTGCTCGTGGATTATTAATAGCTTTGATTCTCTCATTAATTTTTATTGTGTTGAAATATGTTATTGTTATAGTGTTTCACTTACCTTTACATCCCATACCTAAGTATAGCCAGGAAAAATCCCTCATTAATTTAGTATTAATATTACATAACATCAATTAACTAGGGCGTGGCTTCGCGTCCGGTTACCGGACGCCCAGCTCCCAGGCTACACGTCCGGTTACCGGACCCCAATATCCTAGGCTACACGTCAGTAAAAAACAATAAACAATAAGTTTTTACCATAATATTACTAAGCTTTAAATATTTTATCAAAAAAATGTGTTTTTGTAACTTTTGAAGCAATAATAATTAAATCCAGTAAAATCAACGATTTGAAAGGGGGCGTGTCCTAATCGTGACGTGGATTTGGAAATATGTGCTGAGCTTTGTAATGGATGACCGGACGCGTAGCCACTGCGAATTAAATAACATTAAATAATATGTACTTTTTGGGTTTAACTGGTTCAAATACATTATTATTTTAGTATTTAAATTGCAGGTAATTCTCGTGTGTCTTTAGCCATCATACTCAGAAGTAGTTATTTTTATTGAACTGCGGTCAAATTATTGCCCCTTTACACAATCAGAGACCTTGCTCCACATAATTTAACCGCGGTAAAAATAATTTATCTGCGGTTAAATTACGTGGAGCACGACCTCTGATTGCGTAAAAAGTCTATAATCCCGGGCTATAATTTAATCGTGACTAAATTATTTCTGATGCGGTAAAATAACTGTTTCTAAGTACAGTGGCCAACCACGCGTACTCTTGTGGCGTGTGGTGTCTGTTTATCTTACCAATATTTGTGTCCTTCTCGTGTTTAAATATCTAATTAGTGTGGTTTATGATTACTTATAATTCTCGCGTTTCCGTATTTATATCTGCCTTTACCTATAAATCGCGTGTTTAGTCAGTATAAAATCAGCAACCCAATTAATGTACGTATGCACAGTATATTAAAATGAGTCCAATATGTAAAGCGTAGTGAAATTGAGTAATAGTAATTTAAATCTACTCATCAATCTATAACTACTATGGGCGATATGACACGAAATCAAACGCTGCTGGTACTGGCCGAGTTATTGTCCATTCGTATTCTAGTTTAATTGTGTTTTAATTGTGGCCTTATATGCTCTACTGGGAGTGAAGAGGATAAGCGAAGCGATTCTAGTTTAATTGTTCGTTTATTTATCTCCTCATAATCCGTTTCCTCCGTACTTTAATACTGCTAGACTTGTTTCTTTTTGATTTTATGAATTGATTTATTAAATGTATTTTGAGTGGGTTACTGGTTTTCCGATCCATGTCTTTAGTTGATCCAAAATGGCCGCGTAAATGGCTGTAATGAGTGGCTTGACTAGAGTCCTTGGTGTAACCGAAATCTCTACACCGTGTACACACTGCAAATATTTAGCGCGAGCCTGGCGCGCGCTAG